TGTGGCAGCAAATACATAGGTCGTACGGAAAGGCGATTGTCTACTCGCGTGATGGAGCATTTGCCAAAATGGTTGAAAACAGCTGAGTTCAAAGTGCCAAAATCCTCAATAACAAAACATCTTGTAGATTACGGACATCATATCGACGCAGTCAAGTCATTTACCATTGTCAGCGAACAAAGAAACAAGAAGATGCTTGCAATTGCTTGTGCAATTCGAATTTATAAACTAGGTCTCTGTGTACAAAACGAGATGGTTGTGACTCTGAATCTACCATGGTAATACGTTTTACTCAATATTCTTTACCTATTATTATTATTCTACCTCTTTTTATTATTATCATTATTATTAGTCTTGATTCATTTAAAACTGTTCTTTATCAGTTTGATTATCTTAACCATTTCAACACTATTACTATTATTGTTATTATAACTATTACTATAGATATTACACTGTTTGCAATTCTTGATGTATTCTCTAATGACTAATTTTTTATCTAAGTGATGTAATTGAGGCGCAATGCAATTTATCTTAATTTTGATCTCTCATACTCTCTCTCTCCCCTTATCTATTCGAACATGACCTGGAAAACATTCTGCATGTAGTTTGTTTACTTATCAGTCTTATATCATTCAATGTCATTTCAAGAGCATGTATATCGTGTACGCAGAGTATTTAGCTGCCATGTTCTACCGAAATTTGATGAATTCATTAAATCATCCTGCTTTATTAACCTTTATTGCTTGTTTTAAATTCGTATCAGGAAATAAATGTTTTCGATACTGATATATATATATCTCAAATGGAACGTATCCATTTCTAGCTGCAATCTCTCATATTACTTAAAAGGGGGGTGATTTCATTTAGAATAAAAATAAACTCAATTGTCCAATTCCTTTAACACTGTATATATTAAACAGTCGTTACAGGTATTCTCTAACATGCAACAACATGGCTGCCTGTAAATGTTTCTTCTCACTTTTATTCCTTTTTGTTTCATGTTGTTTATTCAGACAAAAGAAAATTGTTTATTTTCCTCATTCGATTGTTATTGCAATTGTATTAGAAATGTTAATTAACAACGTGGAGACGAAAATATACTGGGTTTTTTTTTTACTCTATTCTTAATAGCAACTTCTAGGGAAAAATTAATCGGATTATTTAATTTGAGAAAACAAGTTGATAGCCATGGCAGAAATTAAAAGAAAAAAACTTTAAATCCGTAAGTAGGTCGCTTTCCTCCCATTATGACGTCAAATAAATATTTGCTCTCCTTTTAGATGCTCGTTAATAGCTCTAAAATAATGTATTACCATTAAAATTAGCGTCCTTTTGGTTCCAGCTGGAACGTAGGACTTTCAGCAGTACATCTCCTTATTTCATGATCTCCTTTATAATTCTTTGGGTTCCACTAGAGGTTTTCGGAAATGAAGTCATTTATCAGTGTCCTCAAGGTGCTTCCAATCTATCTTCATTTCTTTTAGGATATCTTTTGGGTGATAGGTTAACATATTTGATTGGTGGATGGTGACTAGCAGTGGAATTCAGGATATTACCACCAAGGCTCGAACCCAGTGCCCAAAGTTTCAAACGCCAAAGAGTTATCCACTAGATAAATTGAGCCACGAGAGCCACCTTTTGTGCAACGGGTTATACCAATTATTTAATTGAATTTTTTTAGATTTTCCCGTCGATTGATTGAACCGAAGTGCTCGGTCTCAGGTTGAGATGTCGGCTTCTTGTGCAGATGCTTCGACGATATCCAAACATGTAGTTGGAATTTAATTGGTGAACTTTGACTAGCAGTGAAATCCAGAATGCTCATTTGGTGTTTAAAACTGTGGACACTGGGTTCAAGCCCCAGTGGGAACATCGTCACTCCCTGGGGAATGCAGGTACATCCGCTGGATGACGAGTCCCAAATAAGACGAAATGCACTTTATCCTTGATTCCATTGCTTTTCTCTATTCACCAATTAATTTCTAACTACATGCTTAGTCATCGTCGAAACATCTGCACAAGAAGCCAACATGTCTACCAGAGACCGAGCACTTCGACTCAATCAATCAATCAATGAGAAAATCTAAAATTCAATTAAGTGACGGGTAAATAGTTGATTTGTTGCCAGACTTCCTCGTAACTATCACTTTCTGTTCATCTCATCTTCGCTATTGACAGAATAGGCTGATACAGCATGTGTCCCTTTGATCATCTTTGTCATAGCTTCTTCTCAACTGTAGAGTGAGTAAAAGTTGAAATACTTGGCCTTCATCAATATGTTGGTTCCTAGTATGGATGCTGAATGAAGCAGATTTCGACATTAATTTTTGGGTAATAAAGTTTTGTCTTAAAATTTTGATCCCACGTTTTACGTCCTCATCCATGCTGCTTGTAGCAACCATGATGCTGTCTAGAGAAATGAAAAAGCCAACCTTCGCTAGATTTCTCCCACTTATGATGATCGGCGTTAGTCATTATTGATTGGATATCTTCGTCACCTCTTTCTTTTATACGCTAACTTGAATTTGAGCCATCGCTAATTCGTTTGCGTACCCACTGGTTGTTGGCTGTAGCTCTTTAAGTCTGAGTGATATTAGACAAAGATCATCCGTGAAGTTCAGATCTTTCAGAGTAATGAACATTTTACAACGTTATTACAAATAAGTATGTACCACTCCAATTGTTATAATTTTCAAATATTGATTCTGTAGGGATTTTGTCTGATTGGTTGGAGGATTGGGTTCCAACCCCGGTGGATGCGTACCGACGAAGAGTCCAAAACTAGACTGTCAAAACATCTCTCCAGTACTCCCAAGTTTTTCAGTAGTGTCAGCTCATGATGAAATCCTCCAAGTACTTATGATAAATCTGTTATTTGGAGTCAATTTGTCAACCGTGGTGATAATTAATGCAGAAAAATGATGTCATACCTAATCCGTAGAAATGCTTGTGAAGCTTAATACAGGTGGTCAGATAATCTATTATTCATATATTTATCATTCAATCTTCATTTTGCTGTTGATTATTTCAGCCAGATTGTTCAGCCTATTTTGAAATGCCAACGCTTAAGGAAGATACTTCAGCGGTATCCAAAGATTTAACCTGAGATTATTTGGTGGATGGTGACTACCAGGGTGATTCAGAATGTGTATTTTGTTCGATTTGGACCTCATGAGTTGGCTCTACTTGTATTACCCAGAGAGTGACGGTGTTCTCACCGAAGCTCATCTCCAGTCAGCACTCCTCGCGTTTCGAACCCACGATCTCCCTGTTACAAGGCTTGGTCGTAGATCATTCAGACAATAGGACCAGATTCACTGGCCCGCGGATTCTAACTTATACCAATTCGTCATTTGAACACTTGCGTTTGTTCTCATTTCCGACGGATGGACCTCACTGGTCATTACTGATGGAGAAAATAAATTCAGACGTGATGTCTCTTCAGAAGATATTCAGTTATTTCAAGACATAGTGACAATTAATCTAGTGAAGCTTCTTGGCCTAAATGTTAATAGTAAAGATTTATTCGACTCTTTAAAACAACCAGAATGTAAATTCCAACATAAGTATGATTTACGGAAAAAGCATAAACTCAATAATCCTCTACTTCCCATATTGTAAATGTGCAGATCCCCAAAGCATAAACATTCTAAAGAGTTGGTAGGATTATTGCACCGAATCAAGACACAATTCTGTATGCTTTTACGAGTTTGATCACGGAATGATATCAGTTAGAGAACCATTGAAAACCAAGAAGTACTGGACAGCTGTTTCTTGCCCTGGTTTGGGAATCATCGGCAGTAAGCATCCACTGGGGTTCGAACCTAGCACCCTCCGGTTACAAGGTTTGTGTTAAATGATACATTTGAAATGATCAACTGCCTTGACAACAATAATATTATAAATAAATATATGTATAATTTTGATGTGTACTCTTTATTTACTAATGTGCCTTTACTTAAAACAGTTGACATTTTGTGTGATTATATTTCTACACACAAGTTTTTCATCCCGTTCCCTATATCTTATTTAAGGGATTTATTACTTCTATGTACTAAAAATGTTAGGTTTACATTTAAAGGTGATTGTTTCCGCCAGGTTGATGGTGTCGCTGTGGGAAGTTCGTCAGAGCCCCTTTTAGAGGATGTCTATACGTTGTACGTTGAGAGTTTATCGGAGGATTTAATCGAAAAAAGTGCCACTTTATAGAAGGTATGTAGATGACAATGTATCCATATGTTATAAGCCTTGTAATGCCACCTGAATTTTAAATCGAATGAATGAATTTCAGAATAGCATATAACTTACGTCTGTAGAAGAGGAAGATAATTGTTTATCTTTCCTAGATAATATACTGCTTAAATGACGGCTTGATGGGTCGATAAAACGATCCATTTATAGGAAACCTACCTGGATAGGACAGTATCTTAATTATTACAGTTTCTGCCCTGTTCGATATCAAAGAGCCTTAGTATGGTGCCTTTTCAACAGAATCAAATTAATAAGCACCGAAGACACATACGATGAGGAAGAAAGAAAGTTGACATAAATTGTGCTTGATAATAATTAACCAAACAAGTTCATAAGGAGATATAAGGTAGTCAAAATGCCAAGACCTATTCTCCAACTCTCCATTAAGAAAGATGTATATATAGGAAGCTATCGTATATGGGTGATCAAAGCAGCTAAGAAGTTTGAAAGATATTGATCACTGTGGTTAAAAAGACTTTTTATGCAGTGAAGATCAGAATAACTGGGAATGTGAAACCTATATATCCATGTAAGCTCTTAGAACTTAAGAAAAATTATGTCACATCCCGCTGTATTTACCAATTTGAATGTACGTGTGTACACACATACATAGGGAGGACTCAGCGATCTCTGCAAGCAAGAGATTCAGAAGCAAATCGAATCCCCAGGAGACTTAGCTCCTCTACTGTGAAACACATTATAGACACACGACATAAAAGACTACAATTTTCTCAGTAATAAAAACTTACCCAGTTTTACAGGGACGAAGTTCCAGTGTATTGCCTGAACACTTGCCTAAACCAGTAGTTTCATTAACTGGCACACGGCACCTTCGTTTACGACTTATCCAGCCTTGACCACCGCATAGAGGAGCTGAGCATGTTGTCCATGATTCCCATGGAAGCCTAATAAAACAAGAGATGAGAATACACGGTATAAAATATATATATATATATGTTAGAGGATAGAAGTAATATCGTCAAATTTTTGAAAAATACTGCTTCCAGTTGTACAGCTACGTCTGACTTCTAAAGCATTTATATTTTAAGGGAAAATAGAAAGACCATCTGAGAGGGATTCCATGAGTTCTAAGATAAGAAGTGAGGCATATAAGAGAAGCTTTGAAACTTAATAATTTCTCCAAAAAATTAATCACGAAATAGGTAAGAAAATAGAGAAACGAGATCGCGCTAAATCACGAAATGGTAGAAGTTAGAAATCCTTAGTCATCGAATCGGGTCCCATTGGCTGAATGGTAAACGAGCTTGCCTTTTAACCTGAAAGTCCTGGGTTCGAATCCTGGCAGTGGGTGCGTACTGCCGATGATTCTCAAACTAGAAAGAAACAACAGCTGTCCATTACTCCTGTGCTAGGTTTCAATGTTTCTCTAACTGATATCAATCCTTGATCAACTCGTAAAAAAGGGAAAAACATAACCCTTCCAAACCAAAACTATAGAAAAACGAAATAGTTAATAATTATAGTAGTAATAGTAATAATGACTATATGTATGACAAAGATGCACAGAACGATGACAACATAAACAGTGGAGAAGAATTGAAATCATCAGTTGCACTTCTGCACATAGAAGAAAGCTCTGAAGCTTTACGTAGAACGTAAAACGCGCCTTTATCTGAAAGTGAATTTAACGACATGACATTGTCTAACGAGAGATTAGAAAGACTAAACACCAAGGGATACTAGTCAAATAATCTTAATAAATTTGAATAACAAGCAAATAATAATTGATGGATAACACTGGGAATTTTGCAGATGACGGCATTTATGAATCGTTGAATCCCCTCCTAAATGGTTAAATGCTCAGCGGACTTGGTTAAGTCTTGATTTGTATCTCCAGTGGAGAAAAATGGAGGAGTAATGATGAAGAGTCCCCGACTTCGATGAAATAGCTGTCTAGTACTCTCTGATTTTCAATCATTCTCTAAATGGCATCAGTTCATGATCAGAAACAAAGTGTTCAAAATTTGTCATGTGGAAATACTGAAAGTTCCGCATAATGTTAGCCAATGAGGGGAACGCATTGAACGTCTGCGCATTACACACAAAGACATTTTTCTCCTCTATATATAGGTAATCAAGTGTACAAAAGTGAAAGGTTTTCTTGCGGTAATCACAGAGGGATTAGCTTGACTAATACAGTATCTAAAGTCCTAGGCTCAATAATCATGCGTAGACTAAGTGGTGCTCAAGAGGCACAAACACGAGATAACCAGGCAGGCTTTAGAGCAGGAAGAGGGTGTATTGATCATATCTTCACGCCTTGATAGATTCTAGAACATTGACATTCCTACTGGCGTCCAATAATTATTATATTTCTTAACCTAAAGGCGAGATTCGATTCTGTCGACCGTGAGGTACTCTGGCGATGCTTGGCTGTAAAGGGAATGACGAGAAAATACATTCCACTGATCAAGGCGCTCTACTCGTAATCATGCATCCAGGTGAGGGCTTACGGCGAGTTGTCATCTGAACTGGTGACGACTAGTGGTGTCCGTCAAGCACACCCATTATCCCCTTTTCTATTCAACTTCATCATAGATGTACTAATGGACTTAACCCTAACTCACTTCAGAGACTTATGGACTGACTTGCTACCAGGGGATAATCTCGTTGACTGAAATGTGCAGATATTATAGTCCTCCCTCCTCGGTGAAGACGCTGAAATAATGAAGAGTCTTCTTAACACCTTGAGCTGCAATCTACGAATGTTTAGTATGCGATTACCTCCCGCCAAAATGTAAGATGATGCTACAGGACTGGACTACACTGACTCCGAGTTTAGAAATACGGAGTGAAGTGGTAGAGCACACTGACTGCTTCACTTATTTGTGAAGTACCATCACCCTCAACGCGTTGATCTCCGACGAAATCTCAGCACGGATACACAGGGCTGGATTCGGATATGCCAGTTTACGCCGTCTCTGGCGTAAAAGTGATTTCCGAGTGACTGTCGACCAAAGGGTGAGTGTACTGCTCATCAGTCCGCTCCGTTCTCCTTTATGACTGTGGGACCTGGCCATTGAGAATGGAATACATGAAAAGATTAGCTGTCTTTGGTCATGGGTGCCTGCGCTCTGTCTCCCGTGTGGAGTGGTATAATAAGGTGAACAATGTTGAGGTTATGCTTCGGGTTCTAGGTAATAAGGGGAATCATTCAACGAGGCTGTGAAATTTCATCAACTGAGGACATGTGTTACGTATGCTTAGTCATTGCCTTCCTCAACTGACGGGCACTGTTAGCTGACATAGGGTCAGGCTGGAAAAGAGCGGTCAAACCAAATCATATCATCAGTCAATGAAATCTACAACAGTTAGTTTAAGTCACGTAGGAAGGTGTAGTCTTCCTAATCAGGGTTCTCGGGACGGTAAAAATCAATGGTTGGAAACAATTGGTGACATGGCTCAAAATCGTTGTCAGTCATGGCGCAGATGCATTCACTTCTTGTGGCTTATGATTTCTAATGAAACTGTTTTGCTCTTCGTTATTACTATTCCTTTGTCTCACTTCTCTATTAACTGTCTCTTTTAAGCATTTCTTCTACTTTCTTCTCTTGCTTGTGTGCTACATGGAGGGATTGTGGTGACTTGAAGTGCTGCATATCGGTGCAAAGTTCTTTGTCGAAATCAGACAGACAAAAGTGAAACATTTAGGAGAAGTACGTCAAACTACTTAGCTAGTATTCATATGTTCATTCCTACGGTATAGTCGGGTGTAGTCTAACTCTACATGTATGCATGTATGCATCACAGAACTTTTTTGAAAGGATTTAAACGATTGGACATTCATAGAAAGCGACATTCATAGGTATTTGAGATCATCATGGCAGCAACTTTCCTTGTACGAATAATCGGATTAAAAATAATTAAAAGGAATATAGGATACATATACAAAAACACACAACCATTCATCATTTTTCGTGATAACACATGATAGAATGAAAGAAAAAACTGAATGTCTCGGGAAAAATGGATGTCTTCAACCCAAATAGTAGAGAAGATGAAAATGTAGCGACCAAAACCAACTCAGTATAATCTGAAATCAAATAAACCAGCCCCTGCGTTCTACTGTACTGCTCAAAAAAACTTCTTGCGGACACGCGAAATCACAAAACTCACCAAAGGTAGCAAAGAGACGATTATTCTAGAACAATTTTACAGTTCTATTAAACATTAATAACACAGTAGGGTAGGATTAAAAACTGTCCACATGGATCGCACAACAGCAATTCCCGCAGACACGTCAAGGTCCTATCCTATCACCCCAAGCAGAACTGGAAAAAACACTTACGAAAACGTCATTAGAGGGTGTAACAGACTAGGTGACCTTTAACTAATAGTTACACCAGTGAATCAACTAACTAATTAATTACATCGTTATTTCATTTATGCATAAATATGAAAAATAATTTTGATAAATTTATTAAACTCAATTTTAACAATGGAATTCATAGAGAAGGAGGGGGTAGCTATGGATTCGCAACTAGGTCCTTTCTCGGCAGATTTCTCTTTGAGTTATAGAGAGTAGTAGTCTTTACCCAACTATTAAGGGACTGAACTATTATAAACAATACATAGATGATCTAATACTGCTTGTGTATAACGTACCTAATGACTGGAGGAAAGGTTACTTCGTGAAACTACCAAAGAAGGGCAACTTAGGACTCTGAAAGAACTGGTGAGGAGTCATGCTCCTGTCGACGCAAAGTAAAGTCCTGAGTCGCATCATCCTGGAGAGAATAAAGAACGCACTGGAGACAGAACTCCGACCAGAACAAGCTGGATTCAGGAAAGGCAAATCATGTACTGACCAAATTGCAACTCTACGCATCATCATCACAGAATAAAGCATAGAATGGCAAGCAAACCTCTATCTCAACTTTATAGACTTTGAGAAGGCCTTCGACAGCGTTGATCGTGAAGTAATTTGGAAATTACTCGAGCACTACGGCAGCACTACGGAGGCTGCTGGCTGACATCGCGCGTCAGGACATTGCTCGAGTGGAACCCGAAAGGGAAGCGGCGAGTGGGACGTCAGTACAGGGGTGACATAGAGGAGATCGTGTGAAGAGGATTTAAAAGAGCATGGACTAACATGGATGCAGGTGAAAAGTGCCGCAGAAGACAGAAGCAGGTGGAGACGTGCAGTTGAAGCCCTATATTCCACTAGGAACTAAGGGGAACAATAATAATAACGAGTGCGATAATCGAAAATCTCGTTAACCAACACTGGTCATTTCATCTCAGCAAACGCCTCCTGCTTCAAAGGGATTTACAGCGTGATTAACATCCTGACAAATACCAAACGCTTTCGTCTCCTTTATATTGCTGAAGTCTTAATCATTCAGTTTGAAAAACAAGAGTTATATGTACAAGAAGAAACCAATCAACCACTTCCACCATCATAGTAACAATCGTGTTGACTTCTAATGACTCTAAGTTTGTGTGCTTGTTTTTTTTCTTTTTTAACTTCTTATAACCCTTCAATTGGTTGATGGTGGCTAGCAGTGGAATCCAGGATGCGCATTTCGTCCTATTTGGGACTCGTCATCCGGATATACCTGCATTTCTCAGTGAGTGATGGTGTTCCCACTGAGGCTCGAACCCATTACCCATAGTTTCAAACGCCAAAGCGTTATCCACTAGACCACTTGAGCCACGAGAGCCACCTCTTGTGCGACGCGTCATACTAATTATTGAATTGAATTTTTGATTTTTCCGTCGATTGATTGGACCGAAGTGCTCGGTCTCAGGTTGACATGTTGGCTTCTTGTGCAGATGCTTCGACGATAACTCTTGTATTTCTTCACAATTTTTACATACTTCCATATTTTCCTTCGTTTCTGTGTACATCCTCATCAAAACTCATTCAATAAACTATTCATTT